TCATATTTGTTTTACTAATGTGATCCAAATATATAGAATGGTTTATAGAAATTTAGTCAAAAGTAATGTGCAAACATGGTGACAACACCTGAGAATGGCATGTGATAAGTTTTAGGGGCTGATTTGTTATTTCAGATAGGTAGAATTTGATTCAAAAAGTCAATGAGGAGACTTGTCAAGAATCTTTTGATCCCTCTGTACAATTTTAATTCAATTCTCCTTTTTATTTTATCATGTAATTTATTGTATTTATAAAAGTTGTTCTTGATGTTTAGTCTAGTCATTTTTCTGAAATTATGCATATAATCTTCAATTTAATTTTTGCACATTGCCCATAGCCATCTTATGTGTGCAGTTGTGAGACAAAAGATGTTAATTAAGGGCTTGTTTGGTTCATGATAAGAGCCTTAATCTTGGCTCCCAAACACTGGATAGAGCAGATGGCTCTCTGTTGTTTTCTGGAATTGGCTGCTCAACAGTAGGGCTTCTTTCAAGTCAAAGTAGTGGAGCAGATAAAGAGAGTCCAGATTAATACCTATTAATCCATACTTCTTTTATGAGTAAATTTGTATCATCTTTACACCTTTTTTTTGTGTTCTTTTGAATCAAAGAAATTGCAAGTCAGATGTTCTCTCCAGACACGAAAGATGAAACAAAGAGTCTAAAACCGAAAAAAACATCTCTTTCAAAAACATACATCCAATTGGAGTTTACAAAAGAAAAAAACGAAAACTTGGCTAGCGACTAACAACATATTGTATTCATAATCTCTAAAAAGAAAAAACAGGACAAAAAATTTCCAGGCAAGAGAAATCAAAAAACAGCAAAAGGCAAAAATAACTGCTTTTTCCCCCCTTTCTTTCTTTCTTTCTTTCTCCAAACCCCATTTTCAGCACTTGGTATCATATCAAGATAAAGTTGCTTTTAGTTTTGGAACCAACACTGCAAAGATGTAATTTTCCATGTTTTTTTTTTTTTCTTTGTATCACCTTCGGGATAAATCCAATCTCTAACTAGTAGAGCACAAGTCGCAAAATTATGTGTAAATATATTTCAAAAAATGAGTAAAATTACATTAATTTTTCCAGCTTTTGGACTTTTAAGCTCACCAAACTTTTGCACTTACCCTCCAAGTATACTCTATCATGGATAAAAGTTTTTAGATACTGGCATTCGTGCAATTTAGCTCTTCAAAACAAACTTTACCCGGTTTTAAGATTTTGGCTTCACATATCTGATTTGCCATAACTCAACATCTTCACCTCGGTTATACTCCCTCACGTACTGAGGTATCTCGTCAAGATTGATGAGCTTACCCGAAAAGCTAGGCGAATTTTCAGTTTCAAACCCATTCTCATCTGTACAATAGAAACATAATGTGACTATCATATCATCTTTTCATGCCAATTAAGACACGATAGTAATGCTCACCTTCCTCGGTTTTAAGATAACTTCGGAAGCGTGAATAACCATTGGCTACAACATCGAGGTCATCAATGGAGAAGTTGTACCGCTTTTCTAAGGCTACGTATAGAACCTAGACAAAAATGCCATCCACACATCAAATATTACGAACATAAAATTTTCATATATTATGTCAAGTGGAAGATACCAACAGAAGGTCCCCTCGACCAATACACCATTGAATCATATTCGGCTATTATGGTTGTGTTTAATAAACCAAATTAATTAGCTTATAAGTTTCATGTATTCAAATAAGCTTCGTTTGGTAAGACGAGTTTTTTTTTTTAAAGTTCGAGCTTATCTCATAAGCTTCTTTGTTTCTTTGTGTAGCTTTTCAAATAACATCGTTGAAATTTTAATTTTAAAGCTAATTTTAACAAACACTTCTATCATATAAGCTAGTTTTTCAGCTATAAGTCATAAGCTATAAGCTATAAGCTCGAAAATCACTTATCACCTAGTTTAACCAAACATAGTCTACATGCATACTCCCAAAATAGTCAAAACTTGCCTTCTCGGCACCATTAGACATAATTGCTTCTAATAAGCTGAAAAATGCATCAGTTAATTCGTCTTGGTATATGACATCAGCAGCAAGGAGAACAGTAGCTCTCTGGAGCTCTTCAACCTCTGCTATGCTCCAACCATATCTTCACAATTAGAAAGATTAAAAAATTTATCAATATATTTAGATTTTCAAAATAAGTAAATGAATAGTGGAGAGATCAAATAAATATGAACTACAACAGTACAACTTCTTTATTACTTTTGCTGAGATGGAGAATTTGAAACTATCTCGGGTGGCCATTGACTCGTCCAATCAAGTTCACGTATATATATAGAAGCCTTTCGCTGAAAAATCCCAGCATTGAGATTGAAATTGTTGGCACAGTTTTCGAGTATTTCATCACCATGGTCTGTACGATATTGAAATTTCATTGGTATTTCACTAAAGAAAAAAGTATAATAACCCATCAATCACTGGTCACAAACATGCCAAGTATAGATACTCTTACTGCTTCATGCAACTAGGAGAAAAGAAGTTGTTCGTTATGGAAGTGTCGAACAAGATAACAAATACCATGAAATAGCAGTTAAGTAAAACCAAATTAAAGGGTCCGACGAGTTATGCTTTACCAGTTACAAATATAGTATTAGCAGCACGTGCAAGTAACATGCCAACCAACCCTGGAAAAGAAAAGATATATTCCTGTCATACAAGCAGCAATGTCATCTTTAAAAGATTTTTACCTCTAAAATTACAAAACTCTAAACTCTAAAGTATAAGACTGACTTGGAAAGTTATGACTCGATGTGAGAGTAAAATTCAGCTTACCAGTACCTGCGCCGAGTTCTGTTGCAACAATCCCATCAAAATTTGTTGATTTACTCATCACATGAAGCACAAAATCAGCTAGGACTAGTTCTGCTCTCCAAACCTGAATTAGATAAGCCTCGTATGTACAGCACACAGAGTATAAACTATAAAATAGCTCTGTAAAAGAGAGTGTCATATAAATGAGAAACGTGTAAAAACAGTAAAACCAATGTGTTAAATAAGGAAATAGGACATAAATGGAAAGATTTGACTAGCTTTCTCAATGGAAGAATAAAAGAAAAATAAACCAATAACAGAAATCTATAAATGCTTCGATGATGTGCAGCCTTATTACCTGGAGACCAACTCTGGGAATGGATGAGGTGATATTATGTTGGATGCGGATAACAAAAGAATCTTTTGGAGGATCTGAAACCATATGGATTCTATCAAATTCTCAGTCTTTTATATGATGTCCAGTTTCCTCATTCTAATATATATATTTTTTATTTTTTATTTTATTTCTACTTGATTATGAGTGATAAAGATTTCTAACACGACGAAAATTTCAACACGGCAACCGTTCTAAAACCTTAAAAGCTTACAGCAATAAACAAGAATAGCCTATTCATGATTAAATGGAGAAAATCCCAAATCAAAAGATATATAGACCAGCAGTTTGATTTGATGATCCTCAAAAGCCAACACAACAAAAGTTCACCGCTATCAAAGATCACAACTTTTTCAACAGAGTTCCACTGATTTGTACTGAAAATACAAGCAGGTATACAATTCAAAGAACAGAGTATCAAATTGGGGGGAAATCTAAATGACAGACTAAAGCTTAAAACAACTACAAAAAACGAAATTTTATTCAATAAAATAAGAATAAGCACAAAATTATCTTCACTCGATGAGCAATATTAGAGTAAAAGAAGTAAAGAAGATCGAGTAAGTAAGAATTTGACCAAATTAACTGTAATGGGGTATGAGCTTACTACGCCTTCTGGGTAGAATCAAGTCACCATCTTCATCCACTTCACATGCTTTTGTCCTCACTGAATCTGGATTATCTTCAATCTGTTCATCTCCTACAGCATATACACGATGATAAAAAAAATGTTCATTCAGTACTTTTCAATTAAATTTGAAAAAAAAAATTATTGAACTGAAATGGAAAGAAAGCCCTAACGAGGTGGTGATGAGATTGTGAAGCGGGAGATGTGGGGCCCAGCGTGGTTAGGAGGGCAGCCCAGGTGAACCTCGCTCATTACTAGCTCCTCCTCCACGCCTCCGCCGCAATCCGCCGGACACGACGGCGCGTCACCGTACTCGAATCCCATTTTGACTGCTGACCAGCCTTTTTAATAAATCCTGCACTGTTAAGTATTTAACTATTGAAATTATACAATGAAAATAAAGATGCCCTGTAGTTCTCTCTTTTCTTCAGAGTTCAGAAGTCGGATCAGAAGAAATGTATACCGTTTTTGGATTTAATAAAGTACATCTTTATTTAAATTGTTATGGATGATTGGTAAGACAAAATGGAATTTGGAATGGAATGAATTGGAGAATGAAATTATTATAGGAATGGAATGAAACATGTTTTGTCAGTGATCCCATTGGTATGCAGAAGGAATAGGACTGGAATAAAATCAAATTATTATTTTTAATTATAAAAATAAATAAAAGCTTTATTAAAAAAATATATATTTTTAATAAATTATATATAAATGTTTTTTTAATAATATATAAAAATAAATTAATATAATTTTAATAATATATTTTGAATAATATATAAAAATAGAATAATATATTGTTTAATAATATAAAAATAATATATTTTTAATAATATATAAAAATAAAATAATATATTGTAAATTATATATAAAAAATAATATATTCTTAAAAGTAATATATTTTTAATATATAAAAAATATATTTTTAATAATATTTAGAAATAAAAAGTAATATATTTTTAATAAATAATTAAACAGTAAATAAAAGTATGTTTTCATTTTTTATTTGAATTTTATTTTTTAAAATAATATATTGTCAACTGTACAGTTTGTCTTGACTGATTAGTTGCACTAGTACATTAATGTATTGAACAGGATCCCAGAGAGGAAAAGTTCATTTTATACTGATCGTCGTAAATGAACTAGGCCTCAGTTAATTACTGCTTTCTCTTAACCCGTAAGATATTAAACAGGCAGATATATATAGTATATATTACTTTGATTCACATGGGTTAGGTTCAGTTCGCTGGATCAATATTCTGTTTTGGGTAATAATATTATATATAGGATGTGCTGTTAGGATATTTACGGTCACCATGTGCGTTAGTTTGATGATGTCCCCAGAGTGAATTCATGAAAGATTTTTATGGTAAACCCTGCAGGTGGATTAAGTTCCGGCATAATAAGAATGTGATAAACGAGAGCTAGCTTCAGTGAAATAATAATAAATTAATTAATTCTTGATTGTCAGTAATCAAATTAATTAATGGACATTATATCTTAAACGTGGGGAGGTAAATCGAGTAATTATTATTGGAGTCTCAAATGTAATTTGGGCTAGGAAAGGGAGTGCAATAATATAAGAGAAAATTGCACCACCTACCATCCAAAGCAATTTTATTTGCACATTTACTAATCATTTATTTTTTTGCAATTATACTAGCTATTAAATTTTCTCTCTCCAATTAAAAAGAATGAGACGATGGAAAAAGAAGGAAAGATACTTGCTAATAAATTTTCTCTCTCCAATTTACTAATTATTTATTTTTATAATAATTTTAAACTATAAAAAGAAGGAAAGAAAAAAAAACTGTAAAAAAGGGGTTCGATGGAGACGGTGAAAACGGGATTCGATGGATACGGGGAAAGCCGGCTCAATTCTCGAAGGTAGACACCGGCGGCAGAGGCGAAAGTCTATTTCGATTCTCGAAGGTCGATTTCAATTATCGAAGGCAGACGGAGGCGGAGGTGTGGATGAAGGTCGAAGTATCAAAGAGGTTGGTTGAGATTGAGAGAGAGATTGAGAGAGTGAGAGCAGTTATATGGTCGAAGTATCAGAGAGGCTCCGCGATCAGCTTTCTTTATTCCATTTTGTTTTTTTAAACTGGTGATGACAGTATATGTTGCGTGTATATGGCGTATATGTTCTAATATATTTTGTATATATTTCGTATATTTTTCTGGACTTATATGTTTTCTGAATATGTTCTGTATATATCATGTTTTCGTATATAGAAAACACGCGAGGAGTATATAAAACATAAACTAAACTTAAAACAATATCAAAAAGAAAATAACATCAAATTTTTTTGGGATATTTTTTATGATTGTATCAGCAAAAATCGGTTGATTCTAACAATATCCTATACATTAGGATACACTTACCATTTAAGTTTACATTGATTTGCGAAAAAAAAAATGGCTGATTAACTATCCCTATTTTTAAGGACAGTTAACTTTTTTTGTTGAGGTAACCGAAATATGATATTATCCCAATTAAATTCCATGCATAAGGTAAGTTTGCAATTTAATTAAACCCTTTGATATTGTTGCAATTAATTATAGTGTATAGATAAAAATCTCCCTTTCAAATACGATCACGGGTCGACGGGTTATAATTATATATTAAGAAGTGAAACCGGCTTGGTGTTATGGAGGTTTCAGTTTATGAATTATTCGGTTTTGGTTCCGAGCCGACTCTACGAGTCTAAGCGTTTCTCGTATAAAAATAAAAAGATTTCACTCGATCTTTTGATTATAAGTAAAGTGAATCTTGATCGTTGATCTTGCACGAATACAAGATCTAACAATCGAGATCAATTGTAGTTGGCTCCAACTGATTTGTTATCGGTCAGATCCGAGTCCAAAATTTAAATTTAATTTTTGAATTATTTATAGACGTCAAACCTTGTGGGACGGATTGATTCCAAATTGGGGTCGAACCCCTGTGGTCAGTTTTTTCAAGGCTTGGATGGGAAGTTCAAAATCGATTTTCGTACGAAAACTCAATTAACAGGCCAACTTGAATCGGCCGTCATTTCAATCAAGTATGAAAAAATAGTAATGTTACAATTTAAATGTATCTATAATTTAAGTTGGTATAGATATTGTAATTTAAAAGTTGAAAAATATTAATTAGAGTCTATATTTATATGGATTGCTATGAATCACTAGAATTAGAAATTGATATTAGAGCTAATAAAGTAACACTTAAACTCGAAAAATTATCAATAGCAATTTTTATGTCAGCTATAATTCATCGAATTTATGATCTGTTGGCATGGTTTTGTTAAGGAGCCATCAGATGACACAGTTTATAGAATCGTCCAAAATAATTCAATAGAATTCATATTTTCAAATAAAATTATTTATCTCTTAATGAAATATCATACCATTTAAAATTACATAATTATTCTAAATAACTTTGAATATGACATTGCATTATAAATTTTACTAGTATATATAATTTTTTTAAATGACCAATTACATTTTCGAGAAACGAATAAACTCGTGGGCTTCGTTAAAAAAAGGTATTCGAAATCGGTGGACAAAAACGTTATTCGGCACTTTATTCTGGTATTAAAAAAAGGAAAAAAAATCCATAAAAAAGGAGCAAAAATCATCTAAAGTTGTGCGATTGGGGCATAGTCTTTCTCCCTGTTTTGTTCGAAGTTTAATTTTGCGATCACAGTGAAACCCTAACCATGTCTAAGCAAGGTAAATTATGAATTGTCCTCGATTTTCCGTTACATTCGTGCTTACTGCTACTTTTCTTCCTTTTTTTCTTCTTGGTTTTGAAAGTCATCTGATGGAAAAACTTTTTCTTTTGGTTTGGTCCTTCCGTTTGTGCTTGGATCAGGAGGAAAGGCAAAGCCCTTGAAGCAGCCTAAAGCCGAGAAGAAAGAGTATGACGAGGTCTCAGTTTTGGCAATTGATTTTTTTTTTTTTTTTTTNTTCCCTTGGAATTCAGTAAATTTTCTAGTTAAAAAATCGAGCTTTGAATTATGGGAATAATTTGTTATGTATGATTTCATTATGGTATTTAACGATTCAAAAGAATTAGGCATTTGCAGTGGGAAAAATTCGATCCTACCAACCTTACCAGGGTTTTTACTGTTGCGTGTGTGTGTGTGTTGAATATTTGATTTGCAGTGTCTATGCTCTGTTGAAATTGGTGTCTATAGCTGAAATGAGTTCTAACCCTAAGATGTAGCTTTTGTTCTCATTGTTGATAATTGCTCCCTAATTGGTTCTTGTTTGTTAAACCTGCAATAATTGTAAAAAAATTGTTATGAGAGCTTTGGTGCTTTTGGTTTTGGATCGACGTGTAAGGTGGTGAATTTGAGTTAGATTTAAGCTAATTTTCATGTTTTTTCTGAAACTTGATATTACTAATAATTTCAAATGAGTTGAAAATTCTTTTGAAACAAAATGAGTTAAATGCCGAGGTGCCTATAAATATTCTTTAACCGGCATCTTGATGTTACTTTTCTTCGTAATCCAATATCTACCAACTTGATTATGTGGAATAATAGGTGAAAGAACAAATAAGGAATGTATTGGATTAGATCTTACATGAATTCCCCCGATTTTTGCAGTTCGACAAGGCTAACATCCAAAAGAAGAAGGAAGAAGAAAAGGTAAAACCTTATTTCTCGATAAAAATGTCCCCTTCGCAATGACCTAACAATTTAAATTTACAATACGGGTTTCTTTTGGCTGCAGGCTCTTAAGGAGCTCAAGGCGAAGGCTCAGCAGAAAGGAGCTTTCGGAGGCTCAGGTCTCAAGAAAAGTGGCAAAAAATAGGAATGCTCGGTTCTTATGATATTATGTTATCGTGCTTCTCATTTTTCCAATGTCATGCAGCTTAATCGTGTTGTGTTTTCATTGTCGATGCTTTTTACTTTCAGTTTTTCATCATCTGGTGATCAACAGTATTTCCTTTTTTTAATGAAATTTTAATCAGTGGCTTCAGTGTTATTCTCCTGGTACTGAGTGATGTTACTATTCTTTTCATGATAATCTTCTGAGTGTAAATTGTCACAGAATTTGAATCACTTACAGGGAGCTTAATTGTTCTCAAATACCAGTATGTCGATCTTTCGTTGATTAATACGAAACCTGATCTGAATATGCTTAGGGTCGTCATTTTTTTTTTATTACATCAAATGAATTTGAATGTTGATTTTGAGATTTTGACCAACTTATCTTAATTATAAGTACAAATACGAAAAAGCAGGATAGATGATCGCAGGAGAAAGATATTCACATATTCTGGCCAAGATGTTGCATTTCGTATAAATCTATGCCTTTATTGAATATGAAGTACACAATGAAAGTAGACTATATGCTGCTCTCAAACACATATAATAGCCTTCTATTGCAACTTGGTATTCTCCTAACAAACAATACAAAAAGAGTTCAAGAAATAGAGCCCATAATGCAGAATACAAAAGAAATGCAATATATAGGTACACTACTCAACCGACTACTTATAAATGCCAAAAAAACCGAGTTCTTGCTTCATCATATTTTTGTAACTCGGCTAAAATGAAATTTATGTACGCACACACATGAAGAACTACAAACGGGAGAGCTGTGAATTTACTGGAAAATAAGAAACCACAATTGGGGGACGAGGTCTCGATGACTTGCAATCTTTATTCTTCGTTTTATCACCAAGATTTTTCATGCCCATGTCAGATACACGCGAAGACGATAAACCAAAGCAGCCAAAGAGACTCGACACGAGCTTCATCTTTATAGAGCTTCGACTATCTAAGTATGTTTGCAAGGAAGATTAGAAATATATGGACTTATTGGAAGATTAAATTCAAAATGTTATTTTATTTTGTTTTTTCTTATGCTGAGAATATTAGACATGATTGAATATTTATAGTGAACTTTTTGTAGAGGT